GAGGGCAGTGTCACTGGCCCTCATATGTGGGATCCAGACCGGGGTCCTCTGGCGTCCCAAGCCAGCTCTTAACCAACGCGCCACTTGGACAGCCCAACATAATTCTTAGTCCTACAAATTTTATTGTATTTTTCAATTTAGGCAGATAAAAACATGGTGGATCTATTTTTTAATAAGTCCCTAGAGGAGTCATTCACCCTTACCCATAGATTTTAAATATATTCTTAATTGGTATTGAAAACAAAGTAAATACCTTGCAAATAGAGCTAAAAGCAAAACTCCTGTAATTCTAAATCAAACTGAGATTTTATTTCAATTAGTTAAACCCCATCCAATGTGAAAAGCTTCTGACTAAAAGAGCAATTATGGGATTAGGAAAAGGTAATCAGCAAGAGGGTGTGCTGAAGTAGTGCCAGTTAATTAAGTACATGTTCTATTTGAGTGTCTTAGAAAAGGAGAGAAAATGAGTGGAAACTTTGGCAAAAGGAAATAGAGTTAATTCAGGCAGAAACACTCAAGACTCGGATGGAGGCACCAACAGAAAGCAAAGAGGAAGCTGAGAGAGGAGAGGTTATGAAGAATGGGCACCCTTTGGAAAAATGGGCATGGCCTGTGTCGGAGGAAGGGCAGCCTGGCTCCTGCCTTAGGATAAGCCCAATGCTGAACCTCACTCAGTGGCAGGTAACAGGGAAGGTCAGGGGGAGATGACAAGTTATAAACAGCTTCTGTCTCCCTTCATTTATTTTAGGCAGTTACACTTAAAGATGTAAAGAGAGCAGACCTAGACTCTTCTGCTTCTTTGGGAAACTAAGAATTTATCAGGCTGTAAGTATCCTCAAGAGTCATTGAGTTAACCTTCCAGGAACTGAGGCCAATCACGGAGTCAGGCCTGTCTTCTTGGGTGATATGGGCTGAATTGTGTCCCCCAAACTCATATATTGAATTCCTAACCTCCAGTACCTCAGAATGTGATTGTATTTGGAGACGGGGTCTTTGCAGAGGTAATAAACTAAAATGAGGTCATTAAGGTGGGTCCTAATCCTATATGACTAGTGTCCTTATAAGAAGAAGAAATGTAGACAAAGACACTCACAGAGAGACAATGAAAAGGCTCAGGGAGTAGATGGCCATCTATAAACCCAGGAGAAAGGCCTGGAACAACAGATCCTTGCCGCAAAATCATCAGAAGAAACCAACCCTGCTAACACCTTGATCTCAGACTTCCAGTCTCCCGAACTGTGAGACAATAAATTTCCGTTGTTTGAGCCACCCAGTCTGTGGAACTTTGTTATGGGCAGCCCTAGCAAACTAACACCCTGGGTTATTTCTCCCTGAAGGAGGCATGCAGCAAGTCTGGACTTTTCTGCACAGCAAGCCGAGAGACACAGGTTAGAAGCATGAGGCATTTCTACAACGAATCCCAAACTGAGAACTGGACCAGCACATGGCTACTGAGGCAGGTTCCTATCCAAACGTATGCTGAGTGAAAGAATCGTTCAGTGCTGCAAGCTTTTTAACAGGGCTGGGAGGAGAGCAGGCTCAAGACTTACCAGAGATATTTATCCTAAGGGTACCCATGTCTTGGGCCCACCACAAGTGCCAAAAGAGGACAATTTAGAAATAGCTGTTTTCTTTAGAAATGCAAAAAGTACAAAAGTGAAGTAATTTGTCTAAGATGACATAGTTGCTTAGTGGTGACTCAAATTCCCAGGAAGGAACATTTTCCATCCCATTTGAAAGTTGCTCCCATGAACATGTGTAGTAAGAAACAGGAGAAGAGCTTTACCCAGGAGAAAGTCCCCAATGCAGCCTGGCTGCTGCAGAGAAACTCCAGAGTCAACTGGGCAGTTTCTTCAAATCCAGAAATCGCTTTCTGGAGAATGCTTACAAAAGCACGAGAGGCCTTACCAAAAGAAAAAGGATTGTTGAACATCCCAGCATCACTTCTAGATCTAAAGCTGCCCAAATGTGTTCACGGGCATGAGGAGAAAAGGCAGAGTTCACAAGGCGTGATTGGAAGAAAAACCGACAAAAATACCTCTCAAAATTATCTCCCCTGCCATACCTATCACAGGGTTAAAATTCTCATTTATGTTTCTACAAGATTTCTTTCAATATATAAAAATATATATGCATGTCTCTTGGAAGGAACATACCCATTAACACCCATTACTACATCACATATGACTAGTTTATCTGATTTATTGGCACATCAGAGCTCTGAGGAAATGGGGCTCAGGAGAGGTTCAGAGATAATGGATGAGAGGAAGGAAGGAGAAGGACAGGCCTGGATCGACTGACAAGGGAGCTAGGTGACCAAGCTCAGCAAGGGTACTTGAGAGACTTCTGACAGGAACGAGGCAAGAAGAGACTATCAAGACCAGACACGGGTTAGAAGGGACGGTGTGTGGACCTAGAAGAGGTAAAGGGAGAGCAATGGGCCTGGGAGATGTGCTGAGAAAGTGAAGTCTGAGGGGCTGAGTATACCTCTCCTTCACAGTTGTATCTAGAGCTGGCCCTGCACTTAACAAACATCCACCAAGGAGGCTGGTTGAGTGGCTTTTTCTCAGCATTTTCCACTCTGAGCATGGGCACATCTGGGCACTGTCCAAGGTCCTGGTGCTCACAGGAACACTTGGAGTAGTTCTCTTAGGGGGTTTGCTCCCATGTGCCTAGGGTTGTAAAACTATTACCCTCCCTCTGCTTAAGTAAAGAAATGGATGATATTTACGAAAACTGAACAAGTCTTGTTACCAACTCTTTGGAAGCCTCTATTTAAAGTGAAATGCTTTACTTAGCCATGGACTTTTATACCACTAAGCAATCAAAATGTTTTTTTGTGTGTGTGTTTTTTAATTCTGCTAGTAGTTTTTATACTGCTTAGTCTTCTGCAAAGACAGGTATTGAAAACGCTTTATGAGTAAATCTGACTTCTGTCACAGAGCAGAGAATGATAACTCAAGGGGATTGGGTATTTTTTGGTGATTTGCTTTTTTAAAAATTCTGAGGTAAATGATACAAACCTCCTCTTCTTCCCAGTCTATCAAATCCCAGTCATAAGCAATCACTGCTCGCCGTCTTTTCCAAAACTCCAGGAAAACTGTCGCTGGAACAAGCAGAGGAAGACAAAGATATTTTCAAATAAAACAATGTTGTTATAACCATGTCACTAAATAATGAAGCCACTGTAAAGAATGACAGTTGTTTGTGTAAGCATCCTTGAATATCAGAATTTCTAGCTAAACTTAGTGTAACTAGGACTGTTTTCTCTGAATTACTAAGCTTGTACCAAGCATAATGAAAAAGTCAAGTTTTCATTTAGAATTAAGCTGATTTACAAGTTGAGGCAGAACCAAATTATTAGAAAGACAAAGCTCCTGAGATGTTAGAATACAGAAAACTACGTTACTAACACCTTTCTAATTGATAGAGTATTTATTTTTAAAAGTGAGGGGCAGGTTGGAGCAAAAAGGCAAAAATATTTAGCAGTTCACATGTATTTGATTGGCACTAATTACTTGTCCCCCAAATCTTCCTCACAGCAAATATCTGTATAAAATGTATTTTAGTATTTCATTGAAGGAAGCTATTTTATTGGAAAAAGGCATCTTATTGCTTCTCTTTTTCTCCAAGCCATCTCTTTATTGTCACATTGAAGGTAAATGTGTGCAATTTCTGTTAAGAATCTTTTCCAACAAGCGCTGGCCTCCCCTCCCAGGGAAACCTGGGGGTTACCTTCATCTAGCCAAAGTAACTTTCTACTCAATTCTACTAAAAAAAAACCCATTCAAATGAATTACTGAGCACTATACAATGACAGAGAGAAATGAAAAAAAAGAATCAAATATACTATTGCTGCCTTGGAAGTCACAAGCCAAACGAGGGGATGCACATATACACACACTCAAACTTTGAGGAGAACCGTAACTATAGATACCACAGGGACACACTAGGAGATGCAACTGGTGGCTCCATCTCTGGTGGGCCTTGCTGTGTACTTAGACTTACGGAGGCAAACATATGTCATCTATTGGGAATCAGTTTCATGAGGAAAGGTAAATATGCAAATGACCATTCCAAAGAGAGATAATTACTTTCTTCTTTCCTATTCTGCCTCGCTCTGATAGTATTTCCTTATTAGGGGTATTCAGACATAGAACACATATTTTTTAAAATAAGTAAGTGGAAAGAAAAACAGTATAGGGTAATAGTTGAGAGCGCTCTGTCATGTGACCCAGGCATTCATTCCCAGGTTTGAAATCCAGCTCAGTCAGATACAAGCTGTGCTACCGTTTGGCAAATCGATTAACTTTTCTAATTCTCTACTTCCTTCTAAGCAAAAGAGATTCAAAAGGCTCTAAAAATTCTAAGGTTTTTCACCTTAAGTTTGCCACAAACTCATCTTATACAAGCTCTGACCTGTGCTGACATGAGCTATTTAGAATCTCCATATATCCTTCTAATTGAGAATGTCCATACATTGAAAGCAGCCATGTCAATGAACGTCTCCCAGGCCCATCGCTCTCCATTTACCTCTTCTAGGCCAACACACCGTGTTCTCTTCTAACCTGTGTCTGGTCTTGATATCACCTTCTTGCCTCGTTCCTGTCAGAAGTCTCTCAAGTACCCATGCTGAGCTTGGTCACCAAGTAGGGACCCGATCTCCCTTGTCCGTCAACCCAGGCCTCCACTTTCTTTCCTTCCCAGACCTCCTGGGGCATCACATAATAAATGGTGTATACACCAGAGTGCCTTCCTAAAATCTGAAACATTCAGGGTATTTACAGTTGTTATATATTAGCACCTAAATTAATCAGATGCCTAATTCTAGAAGAGGGAAATTAAAATAAATAGATGAGATGTTTTTGAAGGTTAATAAAAGGGCCAACACTGAGCAGCCCTTGTCCACTGGAGCCCTTCCTGTGAGTCGTGTTGTGTCCGGGGTCCCCCGCAAGACCACCTCCAGGCTTGATGAGTCCCTAGGAAGACTCACAGGACTCAGCATGTAGAGGTACTCATGGCTGAGATTTATTACAGTGAAAGGATATAAAGCAAAATCAGCAGAGAAAAAGGGCACAAGGGGCAACGTCTGGTGGAAACCAGGTACAAGCTTCCAGGAATTCTCTCCCAGTGGGGCCACAGAGGATACGCTTAATTCCCCCAGTGACAAAATGTGACACATGTTCTGAGGGTTGAACGTCTGAAATCAAGGTGCTGCTGGGGTTGGTTCCTACAGGAGGCCCTGAGGTAGAGTCCGTTACATGCATCTCTCCTTGCCCTGGTGGCTGCTGGCAAACCTTGGCATCCCTCAGCTTGTGGGGTGCTGCTCCAATCTCTGCTGTCTTCACGGTGCCTCTTTCTCTGAGTCTGTGTCTCTGGTTTCCCTTCCGATAACTGGTCATCTAGTATGGCCTCACCTTAACTTGATTACACCTTCAAAGACCCTATTTCCAAATAAGGTCACATTAAGAGGTATGGGGGGGTTAGAACTTCGACATATATATTTGTGGGGATACAATTCAACAAGGTCATTTTGTCACGATGACTAAGGGCATGCTAGAATTTAGGGTAGAAGCCAGGGGTGCTATCTGCCTGAATCTTAGCTCCTAGGCCACTGTTTAATCTGGGAGCTTTAATTTCTAAGGAAATGAGAAGAGACAAAAATAAAGACAAAGAAATCCCACTCCTCCAACCACAGTAGCATGTCTCTAAAGCTAGTTATAGATACAAAAGTACTGTGACCCGGGGATATGGGATCCTGGTAAGAGCCTGGCATTTACTCTCTCTCTCCTCGGAACTATCCTCTTTTCCTGGGAGGCCTAGAAAAGCCCACACTTATTCCCAAAGCTACTAGGGATACCGTGTTGTTCATTTTTGCCCTCAGATAACACAGTTGGTACGGAAAGGCCTGATTTGATTCTTCATTTTGAAAATGTCTACACTGCTAGTCCAGAGAGGAATTATGTCTAATGCCAGAAAATAATTTTAAAGGTATTTTCCCAGCATTTCTGAAAAAACAAGGAGCTTCAAGATCCTATAGTCTAATTTTTTTCCTTGTCAAAAGATTATGCTCCATTTGTATGTATAAAACAAGAATGGAGCTGTGGCCAGCAATAGAAGGGGCATATATAAAGGCAGAAGGATGGTTTTTATTTTGGAATGGTGATCCGCTGTGTGATGACTCAAGGCATTTTCAGAAACCTGGTCAAGATGGTTCTCTGACTTCCTAGGAAAGCAGAATGATTTACTTCATACACACATTCAACCATTTTCCTCCCAATACTAATTTACTTTTACATGAAGTGAAATTAATAATACTAATAGGTTTCATTTTGTCAGGCCTTCATAACTTTCTGAGAATGTTCATTTGGAGGAGGAACAGAAGAATTACAATCATGTACCTTCCAAGAACTTAGAAATTTAGGAAAGAGGTCCCCTCTTGAGAGCTTTACTTATAAAATCTTCACAAAATGAATCAGCTTAGCTAGGAGTCACAAACTCAAATGGCAAGGGGCCAGATCAGTACAAAACCTAGAAGAGGGAGCCACACAATAGGGAATGGCAGGGATCAGGACAAATTGGTGAGTATGTGGACCACACGAACTGGCAGGTGTTCCTCAGTTCCCACTGACTGTACTGTGGCCAGATCTATATATTTTTCAAGAGAAAGTATCAAAATGTATCTTCATGTGAACTACCTCATTTTCAAAATGATGATAGTTTATTTGTATGATTCTAAAATTGGTGAGGACCAAACGGAATATTTTGACAGGTTTCCTAATTTAAAACATTTGAGGTAGGCCATTGGCAGAAATAATGTAAGCGAATGTAAGTGAGTGGCTAGAAAGTTTATGAAACATGAGGGTAAAATGCCAACATGAGGGTAATCTCAAGATCGCGGAAGCACAGGAATGTGATTGACCACATTTTAAGAAGCTGGAACTTAATTATTGACATTGAATATCTTCTGGAGACAGTCAGTGTGTTCAGATAGGGGATAGCCAGTCTGTAACTTAGGAAAAACAAGGCGCTAAGAATACAAATTTGGCAGAGTTTGATATGAGGTAGGATTTTAGAAGGGTCTCCTGACATGAACCAGTCTCCAAGGGTGTTCTATGTAATGGGGTAAGGATGACTTACCAAACAGAAAAAAATAGTTCTCACTCCCCTCTTCCATTCACTCAACAATTATTAACTGCATTCTTTTGATGTGCTAGGGATTTTTCTAGTTGTACTAATTTCCATGCTCAAACAACACTGATGATTAATTTGGTTCCCCAAACACCCTGACACAGGAAGAAGGTGCGCTAGATGGCCAGTACAAAGTATTCACTATCATATACCTGTATTTTCACAGTCTGGGTTATGCACTGGTATTTGCAAAGTTTAGAAGACATATCCTCAAGTCAGTTTAGCTTTGGGTATTCCAACAGTGTTTCTGAACTGGTGAAGCTGAAGAGACATCATGGATCACGCCTGTTCCCCCAAGGAACCATAATTGTCTGAGGCCCTATCTGAGGGTGTGCTTCCCTTCTATAAAAACCCATCCAACTGTAACAGCCTGAGGACTTTCACTTCCACTCATGAGGATTCACTGTTACAATATAAGAAAACAATGGGTATCAATGCTGGACAAGAGACAGTGGAGGACTGCGATCCCTGAGAGAAAAGAAATAAATGAGGTGAGTCCTAGGATTGTACCAACTCATGATTTAGAGGCAATTTCCAGGTTACAGTTCAAGCAAAAGGAATCAAAACAGAGTCTTGTGGTCTTGCTGAGCTGAGGAGACCGAGACCGGAGTAGGAAGGGTCACTTGGTAAGAATTTGTGGGCAGAATACCAGAAAAGAGGGAGCTATACTGAAAGAAAGCTCTAGATAAACAATGAGTTACCCTGTACTCTTGACATGTATGGGGTGAAACTACATAGGCTGCTTGTTGGTAGCAAACAATCCCCAGAGCTCACAGAGGGCTGGAAGGAGTTCACAATTGGACCAATCAAAGTGGAGAGATATTGTAACACATAGGGTATTGTAGGAGGCCTCTTAACAGTCATAAATTAGTAGTGGGTCTCTGGACCTACTCTAACAAGTTAAAAATAACTCTC